CGAGAAAACTCGTTATCTCTGTAGCATTCTCTGGTCTGGGCCAATCCGCAATAGCCTGAATCATCTCTGGGTCCACGGACACTCCCTTATCCGAAACAATGTGACCCAAGAACCCTATATGCCGTTGCCAAAAGCTACACTTACTGAGCTTGGCATATAACTTCTGTTCTCTCAACTTCTCCAGAACAGTCCGCAAATGACTCTTATGCTCTTCCTCATCCTTAGAGTATACTAGAATATCATCTATGAAAATGATCACAAACTCATCTAGGTACTCTCTGAATACGCCATTCATCAACTTCATGAATGCAGCTGGCGCATTCGTCAAACCAAACGGTATGACCACAAACTCGTAATGACCATACCTAAAGGCAGTCTTACGCATGTCTGTCTCCTTTATGGGTATTTGATGGTACCCTGATGCCAAATCGATCTTAGAGAACCAAGTAGCTCCCCTGAGTTGGTCCAACAACTCATCTATCATGGGAAGTGGATACTTGTTCTTCACGGTCACACGGTTCAATCTGCGGTAATCAATGCAAAGCCTGAAGCTCACATCCTTCTTCTTCACGAACAACACTGGTGCTCCCCACGGTGAACTACTAGGTCTAATAAAACCTTTGTCCAACAACTCCGTTAGCTGCTTCTTCAGTTCCGCCATCTCTGCTGGCGCCATCCGGTATGGTGCTTTAGACAATGGAGCTGTCCCCGGCTCAAGTTCAATCGTGAATGGATCTGAACGAGCTGGTGGCAGTCCTGCCAACGCCTGAAAAACATCCTCGAATTCCTGCACCACCGGTATACTGCCCAAGTCTACATCCGGTCCTCCTTCTGTGGTAGTGATCGTTGCTAGATACTCCTCACAACCCTTCTCATCAGTCGTTCTGCTTGAATAGCTGAAACCACCAATCTTCTTGAGGTGGGTCTAACTCCCTGATAAACCAAGACCTCTCCGTCTCTCTCAAACCGCACCCTTCCACGGTGACAATCCAAGTGAGCTCTGTGCTTGCCTAACCAGTCCATTCCCAAAATGACATCGTAGGACTTAACTCTACAGATCACTAGATCCGCTGGCATATTTACTTCACTAAACATCACTGAAACTTTCTTAACCGTTCCTAATGAAAACATCACTTGGCCTCCAGCCGCCTGAACTAATCCAAAGTCCTCTCCGGGTTCCTTCCGGAACTGTCTCTTTCTGATCATGTCCGGATTAACAAAACAATGACTCACTCCCGAGTCAAACAGAACATGGGTTTCAACCTCACCCATTAGCAAGGTCCCTACACATTCATTCCCTAGAATGCTAAGACTCTATACTAACACACATCACGCAAAAGCATTTTAAAGAAAACTCTATGTACCACACGTACCAGTAATCAGATGAGAAGTGCTCGGTTCCTCGGCTGCTGCTGCACTCGTCATGTACACCCTCGGCATAATGGCCTGTCTCTTGGCCTGTGATGCAAGCGCCTCCCCTGCTCTCTTCCCTTGAGCCACGGCCTGCTCCACCACTCCCGCCTTAGGACACTCACGCTTGAAATGCCCTGGTTCTCCACAACCATAGCAAACCCGAACCGCACCATCACTGCCAGACACACAAACCACTCTCTGATCCTCCTCCGGACAGTCTCGTACCCGATGCTCTAAACTCCCGCACCTGTGGCATCTACTACCACCGCGCCTACACTCGCCAACGTGAGCCTTGCCACACTTACTGGACACGCTGCATCCCCCAGATCCTTTGTTCGGTACTCCTTTCCCAAACTTCCGGTTCTGTCCACTAGACTGACCCGTCTTGGTCACGGCTGTACTAGCCCCAGCTGACATCAACGCAGCTTCCGCCTGTCTTGACTCCAACAATGCCGCCTTCTCCACAAGCTCAGCAACTGTCCTGAAGTCACGAAAAACACATCCGTTCCTAAGCTCAACTCGCAGTCTACTCATAAACCTGCGAATCAGCTTCTCCTCCGTGTCAAACTCATGAGACACATACTTCCTCAGCTGGTTAAACTGAGTCTCATACTGCCTCACTGTAAGCGTCCCCTGACTAAGGTACAAGAACGCATTCTCCAACTCGTTGTAAGCTTCCTGTGGGAAGTACTTACACTTGAACATCGCTGAAAATGTCTCATAAGAACAATTCGCATTCACCAGCCTTCCAACGATTCCTTTCCATCACGTGTGTGCATCACCCTCCAAGTAGTGCACGGCAATGTCTCTCTTGTAACCCTCTGGACATCGGATAGACTCAAAATTCCGTTCTAGTCTCATCCTCCACTCATCTGCCTCAATCGGTGTAGAACCTCCAGCAAAGAACTTGGTTCCCAACCGCACCATGTGATCCAAAACCTTGAGGTAACTCGGAACCCTCTCCACTTGATCCGCTTCCTCCCTAATCACATCCATGTGAACCCCCACCGGTGGTACTACTTGTGGTTCTGCTGCAACCGCCGGAGCAGGAGCCACCACAGGTAGCCTAGCTAGTACCTGTGCTAACATCCCAAGCACAGCCTCTAACCCCACTGGTGCTACATTCGCAGCAACCCCAGTTACACCGCAGCATTCCTAGCCACGTTCTCAGCATCCGCAACATTCCTTGCTGCTTCCACGGCTGCCACTCTAGTCGCCTCATTTGCAACCGCAGCTGCCTGTCTCTCGGCTTCCCTTGCCCTCTCAACAACATCACCGTTGACTGAGCTCACAGACCTCGTAGCCTGGTTGTCCCCATTGTTTCTCACGGTTCTTCTGGTATCAACCATCTGCAAGTACACAATGCCAGTTAGCCGAAGCTAACTCAAAACGTATTTTACAACACCACACAACAACTTACCGCGAGACCTTGGCAGTGAAGAATGGATCGGACCCCCATAAACCCCAAACAAACAAACAACAGCAGTCACCAATTTCAGTCCTAGAAGTGTTAAAACGCTCTGATACCAACTTGTGGTAACCCAACCCGGTAAACCGTACCGCGGCTGTGTCCCACTACATCCTCTAAGTCCGTTTCTATACTTAGCCATATTTTTAAACTTTTTCTTCATTCTTATTCTTTCTTATCAATACACAGCGGAATATAAAGCAACTCATTTCTTTAATTTAACTTGCATAAAATCACTTATCAGGATTCGGGGCTAACTTAAACAAATCACAATGGTTCGCTAATGAATACGAACGATCATCTAGCAACCTAAATAGTCAATCACCAAAGCCATAAGACAAAGCACAACGTCTTAAACATAAATAAAACCCAGTCCCGATCCATCCATATCCATCACTGCCGCCTGGTCTCGCCCCTTTACTGCTTAGTACCTACACACTCAAGATGAGAGGCATAAGTATTTCATAAATACTTAGTGAGTACGGTCATCCCGTAACACCTGGTCAGTACCAAACACGCAATCATACTTTCAGATTCAACATTCAACACAATCAATTCGCAATAGACATAACAATATCAAACGGCCATGATCATCTAGCCTAACCAACCAAGATCAATCCCTTTTTAAGACCCATGTCTACTTCAGCGAGAATCCCACATCCCCTAAGCTAGTACATGATCCGGATTACCCTGAGGTTAACTAAACATCATATATGCCACGGCAAACACCACAATATATCATAACATAGGAATTTCTTATCAGTTCTAACACATAACATGAAAATCACACAATCAACATGCAAACATTCTAGCAATCCTACGGTCCTAGACACCAAACCACAGTCACGCACTCACCTTAGACAAGGCTGGAAACAGATTGGTCAGAAGAAATCCCGATGAAAACCGCACCAAAACGAAGATATCCGATCTCCCTAAGAATCTCTCGGCTGCCCGTACGATCTGATCCTTATCCCCTCGGCTATCTCTCGATCCGTTCACCTTTCTTCGAGCCAAACTCTGTTTTCCCTCAGAAACCCCACAAAAAAGGCTATTAGCTCGAGGTTATCTGATGAAAACTCAACACTTAGGGAAATATCCGATCACTTACCAATTTATCTCGGTGATGGTCGGATCTGCTCGGCGATAACCTGATCTCTCTCGGATGTCCTCGGGATAAACTGTTTTTCTTAGGGTTTTCTCTCTACTATTCTTTTTCTTTGCTTTATTGCTCTCGAATAAACACAACTCTCTCGAGAAAAGTCTCAAAATCCCTTAAATACTCGCAAAACCCTAGATAACCGGGACTTATCCGATGTTTTCCTGGTTCCAGTAGGTTTTATCCCGATTCGATTCTCTTGGCTATTCCCTGTCTCGGCTATTCCCTGTACCGATTCGATTCTCTCGGCTATTCCCTGTACCAAACACTTGGCCCACGGCCCAAATCCCTTCCCACTCGGATAAACCGCCCTTATCCGAGGTGTTTTCCATTTTTTACCCGGATATTCCTATTTCTCTCGGACAACTTGTCCCATCTCGGCTAATCCTCTATTTCTCTCGGAGGTTTCCTTTTCTCCCTCGGAGACAGTCTACTGACACTCGGACTAACCTCCCAGACTCTCGGATAAATCCCACTGCACCGAGATAAATCCCATTTCCCACGGACTGGACCCTCTTTTCCCTCGGATATGGTCCATCCGGCTCGGCTATCCAGCCCATACCCGATTATTTCCTCGGTCATCACCCGACCATAGTCCGAACCTCTATTCCCCAGCCAATATCTGACCCTTGGCTCGATTATTACTCGGACAACGCCCTGTCCGGTACGATCATTCCACATTTTCTCGGATACGGATGCTACAGTCCCCCTCCACTTCTGGGCTGAGCCTACATTCCGTAGCATTGGACAAGCTATTGGGACAGTGAATCAGGTGGACTTGGATGGAGGAAGAGTCCAAATAGCCATCGACGGTTCAAAGCAATTGTCTTCGAAACAGCAGTGGAATTCCATAGTGGCGAGGAGACAACGGTTATTCTTCGGTACGAGCGTCTGTATGGATATTGTCGGGAATGCCTGAGTCTCTGCCATGAGTCCAGCAGATGTCCTACATTGCTACCGAAGATGGAAAGAACAGATGAGATTCGGTATACAGAGGAGAAATCAGATGGGGGAGCAAAGAGTTACAAAGGCGCACTTTGGGGTTCGGGAGAGAGAATGAAAGACATCACAGATCAGGAAAAACCGATTAAGAATCCTCCAAGGGGAAAGGAAAGGTATCGGAAACCCGAGAGGAGCAGAGATCCTCTCGATCAGAGGGGTTGCAACGGAGGCCAAATGGTGATGTTTTGAGGAGATTCTCTATACCATTACCACCAAGAGAAGACAGGATAGGTTCGGTGGGAATTCTAGAAGCATCCACCGAGCTACGGAGGATCGTAATCCAGGATTAAGTATTACTAAGGTTCGAATGGAGGAAGGAACAAAGAGTAAGCATGGGAAAGCAATAAAGACAGTCCTCCTCAACACTCTGCTAAGAAGGTCCGCAAGGGGTTAAACTTTGAAGATAGCACGATGAGGGTGGATTATTTGGATGCTGGAAGTAACCAAGTTTTTATGGAAGACGCTGAGAAAGCAGTTATCGCAGGAACATAGGCAGGGATTCAGGCCGAGGAGAGAGGAGGAGCAGAAGATGATCAGATCGTCGATTTCGAATCAGACCCGAAGGCGCTTATGGTTGATATTTCCGGCGACTTTGATATCGCTGATCTGGAGGATGTGTTAGAGGAGGACGGCGAAACTCAACCTGCAGGTATTGACAGTAATACCATTGAGACGCTCAATCTTGATCAAGGGTAACTGCCATTCGGAAATGGACGTGAAGATAATATACCCAATGAGAAGTTGAAGGTACCGGTTAGAGCAGGCACAAAGAAGAGGTTATTTAAGTCTTCATTTGCAGTGGGGGGAGGGTCGAGGAAAATGATGAATGATACAACACCAAAGAAGAAGGGGATTTTAAAGGAGATTACACGTGGTGGAGAGAAAGGGGTGGTTCAATAGAGGAAGGGAGAGGTTCCGATGGAGGGACAGGGCGATAATTATAAAGTTTAATGCAGATTTTGAGCTGGAATTGTCAAGATCTGGGGAATAGGTACACAATAAGCTATCTCAGGGAGGTTTGGCGAAAATTCAGACCGGATTTTCTCTTTCTTTATGAAACAAAGCAGTGTTTTAATTTTGTTGAGCAATTTCAATTGCAGTTTGGTTATGATTTATTGTTTACGGTTGATCCGTGTGGTGCCAGTGGAGGCCTAGCATTGTTTTGTAAAAAAACCTTTGATGTTAAAGTTTTATTTTCTAATAAAAAGATTATTGATATAGAGGCTTTGTTTGAAGGAAATTTAATCTATATATCCTTTATATATGGTGACCCGGTTAAACAACAAAGAGATCAGGTTTGGGAACGGATAACAAGAAGGGGTTTAACAAGAAATGGACCATGGTTTTTAATTGGCGATTTTAATGAAATCATGGGAAATCATGAAAAGCAGGGAGAAATAATTAGACAAGCGTCGTCCTTTATTGGGTTTAATACAATCATTAGTAATTGTGGTTTAATTGATATTCCAAATCGAGGCAACACATTGTATTGGAAGGGTAGACGTGATGGACAAAATGTCCGCTGTAGACTAGACAGAGCACTTGCAACGGAGGAGTGACATGACCTATATCCATATTCATATGTGGAATATTTAAGGATGATTGGCTCAGATCACCGGCCTATTGTAGCAACAACTGAATCGAGAAATATTAAACGGAAGAAACAATTTAGGTTTGATAAGAGATAGATTGGTCAGGAGGGACTAATGGACGCAATAACACGAGGCTGGCAGGACCATGTTGCTCATCCAGACCTGTCTCTGGTGGACAGGATAGTTACTTGTCGACATGAAATCTCCAAATGGAGCCAAAATTGTAAACTTTTTGGCAGAGATAAGATTGAAGAACTACAACAGCAATTGGAAGAAATACAGACAGATGATACGTATACCCAAACAGAGCTTAATGAGATTACTCAAAAGCTTAGGGAAGCATATCGGGAAGAGGAGGAATATTGGCATCAGAAAAGTAGGAATCTTTGGAACAGATGTGGGGATCTCAACACAAAATATTATCATACTATTACAGAGCAACAGAGGACAGTCAATAGACTAGTCAAGCTATATGATAGTCATAACACCTGAGTAACTGGGGAAAACAGGTAGAAAAAGTAGCAGTAGAATATTTCTCAGAACTATTTAAGTCCACCTTACCAACGGAGTTTGAGAATGTGTTGGGAGAGATAGATTCAGAAATAACAGAACAGGAAAATGAGGAACTTACAAAACCGGCAACTGAGAGAGAAGTAAAGCAGGTGTTATTTATGATGCATTCCACAAAAGCCCCGGGCCCATATGGTATGACGGCATTATTTTTTCAGAAATCTTGGGATATCATTAAAAGTGATGTCGTACATCAAGTGAATCGGTTTTTTGAGTCAGGGACCTTTGATAAGAGACTTAATTTGACAAATATATGTCTGATCCCAAAGACAGACAGACCAACTAGGATGACAGAATTACGGCCCATAAGTCTTTGTAATAAGATATAAGATAATCTCCAAAGTATTATGTCAACGATTACGGAAATTATTACCACGGTTAGTATCAAAAACACAATCGGCTTTCGTATCTGGAAGGCTCATTTCAGGTAATATTCTAATAGCATAGGAACTGTTCCATGGGTTGAGAACAAATAATTCTTGCATAAAACAATTCATGGCAGTTAAAACGGATATGAGCAAGGCTTACGATTGTGTGGAATAGTCCTTCATTAGAAACCTTCTCATGAAATTCGGTTTCGCAGAGAAATGGATCATTTGGATTATGTGTTGTATTGAATCAGTCCAGTATAATATATTAATTAATGGAAGGGCAAGAGGTAATGTGCAACCAAAGAGGGAACTTAGACAAGGGGGTCCTTTATCACCTTATCTTTTTTATCCTGTGTACTAGGTGTTAATTGCTAATGTGAAGAAAGCAGAACAGGATAGGTTACTTACGGGTATAAATGTTGCTCGGGCGAGTCCGTCGGTTTCCCAGTTGTTCTTTGCGGATGACAGTGTATTTTTCTGCAAAGCGACGCAATCTGAGGCGATGGTACTGTTACATATTTTACAACAATTTTACAACAATTTGGATACAAGGTCCCACCGGCGAGACATGAACTTTTAAACAATACCCTAGGTATTGCCAATACAGGGGGAATGAGCTCATATTTGGGGATTCCGGAAAGTCTGGGAGGCGCTAAAAAAAAGTCTTTAATTTTATTTTGGAAAAACAACAAAAACGGAGAAATGGCTGGACAGCAAAAATGTTATCTAGAGGAGAGAAAGAAGTGCTGATGAAATCAGTACTCACAGCAGTCCCGACATACACTATGTCATGTTTCAGATTACCAAAGACTATTACTTCAAAATTAACAAGCTCTGTAGCAAAATTTTGGTGGAGTTAAAACAGACAAACACACGGAATGCATTGGATGGCATGACAAAAACTCTGTAAATCGAAAGCCGAAGGTGGCCTATGATTTCAGGTGATTGAGGATTTCAATACGGCTCTTCTGGCCAAACAATTATGGCGACTCATCGAATGAATACCCAGATTCGCTATTTGCAAGGGTATTCAAAGGGAGATACTTTAATGATGGGACACCTTTGGATCCTATAAGGTCGTATTCTCCGTCTTATGGATGGAAAAGTATAATAACTGCTAGATCTCTGGTATAAAAAGGGCTTATCAAAAGAGTTGGGTCAGGACACTCAATCTTAGTCTGGAATGATCCATGGATCCCATCTCACGCTCGAGATCAGCTACATGCAAGGGGTTTAATTATTATCATGAGCTAACAGTCAATCAACTAATTGACCCTCAAACTGCAACGTGGAATATACCACTACTGGAACAAATGATAATTTCAGATGACATCCCTTTGATTACGGGATTGGCAACAACACGAGAATATCGTCCAGATCGTTGGGGTTGGAATTTTACTAAGACGAGGAGGTACACTGTAAGATCGGGATATCTCACAGAGCAAATATACCCAGATAAGGCATCTTCCAGGATTATAAGGCCCGATGTGAGCCACTTACAGGCAACAGTATGGAATATTAAATGTCCACCTAAGCTCAACCATTTTATGTGGCAAGTGCTTTCTGGATGTTTAGCGGTAACATCACACTTGCAAGCCCGGGGAATCAATTGTGATCCTCAATACAGCAGATGTATTGCTGACAAGGAAACCATAAATCATACCTTATTTGAATGCCCTCCGACAATCCAGATATGGGCCCTTTCGCCAATACCTATGCCAATAGAAACTTTCCCTACAAAAGAACTTTACACTAATATGGCATACTTAGTCTGGAATCTTCCAAAGCATGAGGATATGAAGGCATACCCTTGGATAATGTGGTACATCTGGAAAATGCGCAATGAAAAGATATTTAAAAACAGCGACATGGACCCTCGAGATATAATCAAGACCGCAATGACAGAGGCTTATGCCTGGGATAGCGCACAGACGGAGGATATAAGGACAATCACTCCACCAGGCTCAGAAAATGGAACTCAGATAAGGGATGGGATTATTTGCTATACAGATGGATCATGGAAGGCGGATACTTCGAATACAGGATTAGGCTGGTATTGTGAAGAGATAGGAACCACGAGTATATTAATGGGTGCCCGGAAGTTAGGAAGGACTCTCACACCTTTACATACAGAATTATAGGCGCTAATATGGGCAATGCATTGTATGCTTGACAATGGGAAAACAACTGTAAAGTTTTTAACGGCTGGCTCAGAATTGTTGAAGATGGTGTCTGACCCAAAATGATGGCCAACATTCTTCCTACATTTAGAGGAATTAAAGGAGACTAGGAAGGAGTTTGAATTCTTCTCAATCACAAAAATTCCTCGTGCGCAGAACACAAAGGCGGACAAGCTAGCACAGAGTGCTCATGATCACTTTTATCATCTCTACTAGTGTTTTGCCCACGCTACGCATGGATTGTATAGTTATATTGTAGTTTTATAAAAGATTGTCAATTAATTTTGTGTTTAATATTGTGATAAATTATAGAGTAGTATATTTGCATGTGATTCTTAGATATAATCGAACGAAGTAAGTATCAGAAGGATGTATATATATATGTGAAAAGATGATCGAAATTTTTGTATAATAATTTGAAGTAGATTAATATACTTTTTGGATAAGTTAATTTTTTTTAAGAGTTCATGCATGTTTTTGCAAATATGAAGGGTAAAGTTTGATATTTTTGTATAATAATTTGATTTGTAATTTGGTTATATTTTTTGTTTATGTAAATAGTATCCACATGAACTATATATTATATTAGAAATATATTGCCTAAATTTGGACATCTTATGTTATAATGCTATTTCATTAGTGAACACCATGAGTATTTTTTTATACTTTTAAAAATATTTTGCATAAGCTTCCCTTTCGCTTGATGCTTTTAAAAAGAAAAACTTAATCTTTTCTCCATTTTTGTTTCATATTGTGTATTAGAATTTTGTTTTTAATTTTCATATAGTATGCATTTCTCTACTTATCAATTTTTTAAGATTCACTATGTACATAGATGTTTTATAATTAGTTCATATGTTCAACGAAGAAAACAAATGGCAATTAATAATAAAATTTTATTATTATATGAGCTCTTTATTGATTGATATACTTGTTTGATAATTTAGCTAGCTCAATCATTTGCCAATATTGGTGAAGAGTGT